CCAAACATTGCCAATGCTGGATAATTAGCAGAGTCAAACCCCTCATAACTATTTGCTTTTAACTTTTGAACTCTATTTCCTCGATACAAATGTCCTCCAAAAGTAACAACAACTTCTGGAATTGGAATATCACCAGCAGTTGTTAATGCACTTAGTAAATTATTTGTAGCATCAGAATATGGTTGACATAATGGTGTTTGTGCTCCAGTAACTACAATTGTCTTATTCAAATTCTCAAACATAAATGAAAGAATACTTGAAGTATATGCAAGGGTATCAGTTCCATGTAATACAACAAATCCATCATAATCATTATAATTCTCATTAATTACAACTGCCATTCTTACCCAATCTTTTGGTGTCATAGCTGATGAATCAAGTAATGGATTTAATTCAATAATATCATAATATGGTAATGTTTCACTTTGGAATTGTGGCATTTCTCGCATCAATGATTGAAGATATCCAGGTTGTGGTTCCCATCCTTGTTTTCCTTGTTTCATTCCAATTGTCCCACCTGAATAAACAATAAGAACATGTTTTGGGTTATGTGTTGCTTGTACAATTGAAAATAATAAAAGAATATACAAGAAGATCATTTCGTCTAACTATTCAAGTTTTCTTTTTTTTTATCCAAACTTATCAATCAGAATGGTTAAGAAATCCATAGAAAATCTTTTTTATTGACGAATATTCTAATTATTTCTTTAATTCTTTTTTGTATTACTTTATTAGTTGATAAGTATTTTGGATTTATAAATTTTCTTTTCGTTATATATGTCAAAAATAAATGATAAAAAAATAAACAAAAGTTCAAAAAAAAAAAAAACCTCAAAAAAATATTTATAAATATTTAAAGTGAAAACTTGAAAAGAATTAGATAAGTCATGACAAGAAGAGAAAATGTCTCATTGTATCGCCCAATTGAAGTTACTTGCTATCCATTTATGTACATGCAAACTCCTCAACCACCACAACCTACTGATAAAGTAGTATTTCCTGCTTATGTATTGGATGAATTAACAAAACAAAACCCAGACTTTCAAGCACCAATACTATTTGAAGTGAGTAATAAAAGTCAGACATTTAAGAAACGAATAGTTTGTGGGGTTGAATCATTTTCTTCTCCAGATTTTACTTATTTTCCACAATGGATTTTAGACTATCTTCATATTCAGCCAGGTGATGTTGCTACTATTTTTAAAGTACTTATTCCCAAAGGAAAATCAGTTACTTTTAAGCCATTGCAAAGTACATTTTATAACATTGAAGATCCAAAGAAAACCCTTGAATCTATATTGAGAAATTATATGACATTAACATTAAATACAACTATAACATTTCAGATGAATACAATTATTGATGGAATGAATATTGCTACTGATGTTAGTGTATTAATATCAGATGTTCAACCATTTTCTTCAATTTATATCAGGGAAACAGAGCTTGTTGTTGAGTTTGAAGAGAACCTAGAAATTTCACCTAAGTATAATAAACCACAACCAATTGAAGAAGAGAAAAGTGAAGAAGATGAAGATATTGACTTTAAATTTACTCCGGTTATTCAACAACCAGTTGAACAACATATGGCTGATAGTTCTGATTTTAAACCATTTGAAGGAGAAGGAAGTAGGCTTGGAAGATCAAGAGATATGGAACAAAATGATTATACAGATACTGAACTTTGTCCATATTGTAATGGTCATATCAAAAAAGCAAATTTCAAAATTCATGAATTAAGATGTCGTAAAATGTATAAAGTATGTCCATTCTGTGGAAAAAAATTGCTTATTAACTCAGAAGAATCACAAAAACATTTAGATCTTCATGTACAAGTTAAATGTATTCAATGTGGTGAAGAAATTGAAAGACAATATTTAAAAGAACATATGAACAATGTTTGTCCTAAAAGATTAATAAAATGTGAATATTGTTCATTAATGTTTCCTGCTAACCAAATTCAACAACATAAAAACTATTGTGGGAATACAATAGAAGAATGTGATTTGTGTGGAGCAAAAGTTTCATTAAAACAAATGCAGTATCATAAAGAAAATGATTGTGCATTTGCACCACGTAATATTCAACGTGAACAAGAAACCATTGAAAATTTTGGACTAGAGACATCACAAGAAGGTTGTTTTGAATGTCCTATGTGTATGAATCATTTTACCAATCAAGTTGATCTTGATACTCATATGCTTTGTTTCCATCCTGAATTGTATGATTAATAATAAAAATTATTAATAAAATTTTTGTTATAGATTTGTGTTTTTTAAATAAAATTTTCTTCTTTTTAAAAAAACTTAAAAAGAAGAAATATTAGATTTTATAATTTATGTCAACTAATAGAAGAAATGGAAATAAAACTACACCTTATCTTAGTAGTATTATTCTTAACACAGTACCAACACAAATTCGTTCAATTTGTTTTATTGATAACCAACTGTTTATTGGAGGAGAAGATGGAACAATATATAAAGCAGAATATATTGAAAATAAATATATGATAATGAAAGGTGTTAGAGTTTCTAAACAACCTATTACTTGTATTCAAGCATTTCCAAGAAATGGACTATTATTATTTGTAACAACACTAAGAATTGGAGCATTAACAACAACATTAGAAAAGTTAAAAGTAAATGGGATGGATATTATTGGAAGTGATTGTGCAGTTATTTTAAAAGATAAAAGTGTAATTAAAAGTAGAGTTGATAAATTTGGAATATATTCAACACAAAGGACATTAACATTTATTGAATATTCAATAGAAAATGGGTTTGAAAGAAAAATAAATGGAATTGTTTTTGATATGGTTCCTCAAACAATTGAATGGGTTGGTGATAGATTATATTATATTCAAGGAGATCTTATAAAGTTTGTAAGACTATCTGATAGAAAAGTTGGTGTATTAAGAGTAAGAAGAGGAGAAGGTAAAATGAGACCATTTGTTCGTGCTGTTGGAGAATATGTATTAATTGGAAATGCAGAATCATTACAAATTATAGAAAAGAAAGGAACACCTGTTGAAAAAGTAAAAGAAGTATTTCCAACTATGTTAAGTTCATTATTTAATATTGTTGTTATATTTCCATTTGTATTATGTTTCTATCCTGATTGTATTAGAATTTACAATTTCTTTACTGGACAATTAGATGATACCATTCGTATTAAAAGTAGTATTGTTAATCAAAATGAAAGAGATGTTGTTGTTTGTTTAAAACAAACAAATGGACCAATCCAATTATTAAAAGCAATAGACTTAATTCAATTTATTAATGAATATATTAAAGTAGAACAATATAATGTTATTAGTCAATTATTAGATAGTTATACTAATGAAATGCAAACAGCATTACCAGTATTAAGTGATGAAGATTTATTATTAGTAAGAGTTGTTTATGGAGGAGTATTACTTGAAAATTATAGATATAATGAAGCATTTGAACAATTTATAAAATGTTCAATCATTAAAACTGAATCAAAAGTAAGTTGGGATGTGAGAACAGTAATTGCTATATTTGATAACTTGATAGAACCAAATGACAAATTTAAACAATATTCTCCTGTAGATTGGAAATTAATAG